CCTGAAAACCGCAGAGGAAGCTCCTCTTCCTTCGAGTCCTTCATGTTGGAGCTGGACTGATGTGTTTTTTCAAAACACGCCGTTGCGAAGCCATCCTCAGACAAGTGTGGCGGCAAAGGTGCCAGAAAGAAGGCGTTTGAGATGTGTCGCCACTCATCCCTTTGGTATGCCCTTAGACCCTTAACGCCTTTGGTTCATAAGGGATTTACTAATGAACCCCTTATTCTTCGGCTAAGTCCTTAGCAGACGATCTGTTTGGGCAGGTTGGGGTTACTGAAACCATCTGAAACATCTTGCGATGGGACCAGAAGCTCATCCCAATTTAACATGGGTCCTTCAACGTGATCTTTTGATCCCCTGGCTTGAGGCCTGGAAAAGTTCACTTCGGACTCCCAAATGGTCACGAACTGAAGAAGCTGCAGGATGTCAACCCTCATGTTGCACCGGAAGTTGGTCGATCAGTTGACTTCCTGAGACCTTAAAGGAGACGCTTCTTTCGACGACAAAATGTTGCATGTTCACCGCCAGGTGACTGCTAAAGCCTCAGTCATGGCAACCACTGGCATGTCCTTTGGGATGACCGTGAACTTGCTGCAGAGCGCCACCTGGACCGAGGAAACCAAGGAAGCGAGAGGGAGCAGCGTTTGTCAGACGCCGGACGCCGTTTTTTTTGGCGCTGAGAGGGAGCCACCTCAGAACGATGGCTGAAGAGAGAGTGGAAGATGTCCTGGGTGCTGGGACTGTTGGGACCAACACCAAGTCACTGGAGCTCAACCAAAACACGAACTGTCGGGTGGAGTGCTGGAGCTTCAGACAAACCCACCCTGTTACTACTGGGATTGGTGGACCCCAAGCAAGGACTAGGGCCTAAACTTCTGCACTCTCCGACAGGTCACTGAATGGTTCCACCTGTTCAGGTGCTCAACCCTCAACCAACGACCTGGCATGTTCCGGGTGCCCGTTGATGGATTCTTCATGTTGTTGTTCCCTGAAAGGACCTCGACATTCCAAGAAGGACCCCTGGGATAGTCGAACCCTCTGGTTCTGAAGCACGTCTGTTGCCCAAGAGGGTAGCCAGTGACCTTAAATAGGACCCTAATTACTGGAGTAACCCTGGCGTACCAGACTGGGATAGTCGAACAGTCGGGTCCTGACCCACCTCTGGGCTGTGAGGTGGGCATCATTGGCATGATGACTGTGGAATGGCCCGGAGAACTCCAAGGAATTCTGTCCGCCTTCAAGGTGCGCGAGCCAAAACATGCGCGCACGCGGGCGCACGCGCGCAGCTTGCGCAAGCTGCGCGCGCATTTTTGTGTGTGTCTCTGCGTGCTTGGCGCAAGACAGGTTGAATGACCTGAAATAGGACCCGGAAAACCTGGGGTACCAGACTGGGATAGTCGAACTTTAGGGTTCTTCAACCTTTGTGCTTTGTGCAGGGCCTGAGCTGGTGTGGAGAAAAGAGTTGAGGAAAACTCGACGAGGAGACATCGAATGATTTCCGACCCAGGACAAGCAGACAACCTGCCCAAGCTTGGTTGCTCCAGTAAGCAAGAACAGATGGACAAAGGATGAAAAAGGTTAGTTAAACCATGTTAACCTTTGTTGTCCAGGGAGACTGAGAAGGTCGGATTTTTCGATTGACCCTCCTGTGGGTCCTACCTGGTGTACCGCAGTGCACACTGTACACGATATCTATGATTGTTTTGTTTGCCGATGATAGATCAATGGATAAAACCTTCAGAAAGATGGGGATTTGGGAGAGGCGGTCTTGAGGCTTGAGATGATTCTGAAAATCCATTGATTGGAAACCATAATTTTGGAGACAGGCTGCATCGTCCACCCGCACAAACATTCAGCCCAAACAACCATGGTCGTTCTGAAGTCTCAACTTGGCTACGTTGGATTCGGGTTGTTGGGAGCGTTTGGTTGAAGTTCTTTCTTCAGAGATGGAATCTTCTTGTACAGTGGTTTCAGAGTAGATGGCACAATTCCCAAAAGGTGGTTACTCGGACCTATACAATAATATACAATAGACATCTTTTGGGTGCCAGTGCCATCGAACCTCTGAAACCACTGTATCTACTATGGCGTGACCAGGCAGAAAGACCGACCAGGCATGTGAACCGTCCTGATCAACTGCGGATCGGATGCATGTTCAGCTTCCGGGACTGGTGGAAATCCCCTTCATGGGAACTTCATGGGAATATGGTCTATTTTGTTCCCTCCCTAACAATCCTTGGGCATCCTTGGGCTCTCTATGGCAGGGGTCGGACCCGACACCTTCGCAGGGGTCTGGGCCCGAACCAAACCCTATGTGTTGCTTCGGGCCCGGATTTTTGGGGATGACCATCCAAGTGATCCAAGATTCCGAGTACACTTGGACCCCATCCAGCTAGACTTAGACGTAGACACACCAAACATCACACACATATATATACCTAGATCTTCAAATGAGCAGAAATAAGTGCTCGAGGTGTAAACTGCTCGTTTTGCAGAAAAGTGCTCGAGCTGCAAATGAAGAAAAGCAAAAACAGGTGCAGTTTTCCAAAGTGCGCTCGTGTGCGCTTTTTTTGCGCTCGTGTGCGGAATTTTGCGCTCGAAGTGCGGCCTTGAAAAAATGCGCGGGACACACAAGAAACTGCGCGTTTTACAAAAACTGCTCGTTTCTCCAGAAAGTGCTCGATTCTTAAGAAAGTGCTACGAAACGCAGGTTGAGCACTTATTTCTGCTCGTTTGAAGACCTAGGTATATATATTATATACATACAGACATATATGTTTTGTTTTTCCGCGATGTTCATTTTTGCTAACGGCCGTGTTTTGTTTTCAAGACTCAATCTTTGTCTCAGAATCCATTCAAGCGCGTTTCCTTGAGGTGCTCCTCCTGGATATTGATAATTACTCCTTCAGCTGCTTTGCCGGACCCATCACCACCGTGCGATACATCAACAGCCTCTTGGATCGAGTATCGGAGTATCAGTCCGGAGCCATGTTTCGCGGTGGGGGACGGTAGAAACGAACTGCTTGGGGTAATGTTGGGTATGTGAGGCTATATTCTTGGGTTGGTTTCTGACACAGGTCAACACGACCCCATACACCCAGCAAACTCTTGGTTTGTAATACAGTGTATACATAGGGATATTCATAGATCTCACTCCAGCTCTGCCAACGATGTGAGGAGACCTCACTGGACACGCCCCAAAATTCAGCTACTTCCAGCTACTGTACCCAATAGATTTTGATGTCAGTGAACAAGAAAGCTTGGGCCTGCACCTTCGTAAAGCGATGGTTTAGGTCCATCGCAGGGCGGTTTTGGGTCTCGGGGTCTCCAGGCAATTTGAGGTGTTTTTTTGGGTATCGTCACTAGGAGTGAGAAAGCAATGAGAAAGCAAAGCATACAATCTATCCCTAGGGATCCAAGTACCTTCTCAGAAGGTACTTGGACCCTCCAAACCTACACAACAGTGCCTCCAATCACCTTCTGAGAAGGTACCTGGATCCCTAGGGTATACATTAAGATCTATTAAGCTTGCTGTGTTTTGCAGAATGCCCGCCCACACCAAGAGACATAGTCCAAACGTGTCCTATTTAGGCCATATTGCAATAGTCCAAACATGTTGGGTAAACTTTGAATGTCCTTTTGCCTACTGACTTTGGCCGGATTGGATTTGACAAACTGGACAAACCAGCAGCCTGGGCAGAGTATCCATATCAAGAGATCCAGAATTTCAGGAGAAACAGAAGGTGTGATGGCTTGACGCTGCGCGAGAGGTGAACAAATAGAAAATCCACCTGCAGAATCTCTGTAGTCACGAAAGGTAGCTTGAGCTACGTGAGTTCTCCTTGCTTTAGCAAAAATGTATTACAATCTGGAGTTGGGATTATGCATTGAGTTTGGTCCTGTAAGAAAGGATTCTGTTCGACAGGGCCCCCCCCTCCCTGGATCATTCCCCCCCCTTCGCCGTCGCTGTTTGGGTCACATCCATCCACCTTTGACGCCGTCATGGACTTCTACCAGGGTTACTTATGATTGCTTGCTACCTTTCGTTCACCCCCTCCTCTCTCAAGTTAAAATCATCTAGCAGTGGAGTGCCATGGCGCATTCCAGGTGTGGTGTTCTTCTTCTTGGGTCAGTTCTGGCTGCTCCTGAACTTTGGCATCTCGAGGATTCTGCCCAAACGCTTTGCCTGGGATGCGGTCGCTCGGAGGTTAGCGACGACCAAGTGGATGACGTGCCCGAGCATGTTTCTTTGGGGTTTTCTCCACTCCCTAGGGATCCACATACCTTCTCAGGAGGTACGACTGGGCCCTAGGGACTAGTCACTAGAACAAATGGACAGAGGTTACGCATGTTTCCACGGAAATGGCTCGGGGGTCAGCCTGCCAGATTTCTTTGGAACAGAGGGCAACAGCGGCAGCTACATTGTTCAAAAGCGTTGTTGCCAGCAGAACTTGGGAGGGGTTGTCATTCCTAAGCCTCAGAAAGAAGAAACTGCGAAACCGCACGGGCCATGGGCGGCCATGAGCTTTCCAACCGAAAGAAGCCGTGTGTGTTTTTACATGGTATGGGGCGGTAGGGGGGGTCATTTGAGTCTCACATCTCTAGGTGCTTCAGGTCCTGAAGCGGCCGGGCTGCAGGCTGCGGTGGATTCAGACCCAAAACCCTGGGCTGTGAGGGTCAAAACCCAAGCGAACTGAGGGTCCAATGAGCCTTTGGGAGGTGGTATTCCATGAGTTCGGATGAAGGCTAAGTGAAACGGGGGAAGGTTTCACATGTGCCACCTAGCCTTCCAAGACCATGAGTTGAAAGAGCCGGAGCAGATGTGGTAGTGCCAAATCCTTAGTACCATACCATGGCCGTTGGGGATTCAGGCCATGAAATCCATTTCGGTGTCATCGGTGTCTGATGATGTTCCACCTTGGTGCCGCCTCACCGGAACTCGTGACCGGGCTCGTTTGGGGCGTGGCGTGGAGCACTGCGAGGCGAAGACGGGCAGCACGATGGGGCAATTTTGGCAGGTGGGCTTTAGCACCATGAGTACCGTGGCTTTGGCGCCCCTGACCTGTGGCCTTGGCTTGAAAATTCAGGGGTTGGGACCTGGCCTACCCAGCAAATCCGCAAAAATCACCTGCCAAGCCTTTTCTTAGAGTTGGTTTCTCCTCTCAACAAGAGCCGGTGGAAACAGGTTCATCTTTCTTTTGCAGTGAACAAACTGAGGACGTTAGTGCTGATGCTGATACAGTAGGTCGGAGGATGTCGAAGGAAAGGATGTGGAATGGTCGAACGGTGGCACGTTTGAAGCATAGATGGCCTTTTCACTGGTGGTTGATGATTCATAGAGGGCTTACTGATACTCCCACGTGAACGACCAATAGGTCTTGGTACCAAACCAACCCGTCTATATTTAATTCCCAAAAGGACATCACTGGTCTGAAGTGCCTGTCACGGAACGCTTCGAACCAGTACTGAAGGTTATAGCCAACATTAACCAACAGAAGTGGGTCAGAACCCTATAGACTAGACGGGTCCTATTTACGGTCACTTACCCTCTCTTGGTAAGGCATGGACCAGCAAAAGCGCCTTTTTTTGGGGGGGGGTCTTCATCGTCCGCCACCCAGGTTATACGCACCCGAACGGCATGCAGAGCTTGTTGAAGTACCCGAACATCATTTGTGGCGGCGACGGTCATGGAGTGATGCTGCGTGGCTGATGGTGATGTCATCGGTGCGGATGCTGCGTGGTGATGTCTTCTTTGGTTGGTTGGTGCAAACATACAAAGCCCAGACGCTCCATGGGACTGCCATGGTTGGTGCAAACATACAAAGCCCAGGCACTCCTTTTATGCTATATATGCCTACATTGGGGTGGTGCCAGGGGGGTCAATGTAAGCATATATTCCAAACATGGAGTGTATGGGAACTGTTGTTGTTGGTGGTTGTTTCTGCTTTTGTTGTTTTTGTTTGCATGGAAAAATTGATGTCTTCCGGACGGAACATGTCGGGCTTTTCTTGAAGAAAGATCCGTGGGTAGAACTGCCGGCAGCCTGCAGTCAAAGCAAAGGGTTCACGACGCATCATCTGAGGCTGGTTTTTGGCATCCTTTTGTGGCTTGGACATGCAGCTGGTGTGATTTGTCCTCGGATGCTGCAAGAGTGGCCCGTAATCCCGACTCTTGAGAAAAATTAAGCACCCCTCACTTGGATGGTAAAGTTTCCTCATATGAGGGGGGGGTGTATCAATCAAGAGTCTAGATGAAACTCTTGACTGTTCATGTTAGACAAGAGACATTGTGAGGCTCACAACCACCAATGCCTTGCTTTCTTCACCCTACCAAACACTGGTGTGGAAGTCTTCACAAGTAGAACGATGGAGATTTGAAACGTTTCCCTTGCTGCAATGCTTCCAATTATACTTCCATATTATGCATTGTTTGAACATGGCTCTGGGAGCGTGCCCCTAAAATCTGCAATTTACTATTATCTCATAATATCTCATACTATCTCTATCTATGCCTTACCAGTTATGAAGACAAATGGCCAGAAAGGTTAGAACTTGAGGAAGGGTCCAATCAAGCGCGCCTTCATAATAACATATAATAACATGTATGCAACCATCCATAACAACAAACTCAAATATGAGAGGAGTTCTTCCTGAGTCCTAATGGGTCAGCATCTTGTCCTGAAGCTTAACATGCAGAAAAAAAATACCCTCCCTCAGACAATCATGGAAGCTGAGCCGGCCCCACTTGTAGATGCAAAATGGTCTTCCAGGGGCCGAACTGTTCCAGGATTCTTGCAGGGAGTGTAGCAGTTCAGGCGCAGGACACCTTATACTATAATCACTAGAGACATACCAACAGAGGTTGAAGAACCCTATAGACTATCCCATAGGTACCCCAGGTTACGGGTCCTAGCTTCTCTGGCTTGGCGTTAGTTCAAGAAACTTCACCAAAAGGTCTGTTTGGGCAAAAATCGCCTTACCAGCGCGAGCAGCGGCGAGTGCGCGAGCTCGCATGAGTCGAGGCTGTCTGTGGGAGTTTTTGGGTTTTTGGCCCTTTGCATCTACGCAGCCACCATGATGCCCAAATGGAGCGCCAGCGATCGTAGCTTGGATGTGGCGATTGTGATCTCTCAGGGGCTAGGGTCTTATAGTGACTCAAGAGACGGTGGGGGATGCGCAAGGTGCTTCAGAAGCTTCCACAGCTCATGACTTAATGACTGCCGACAGGAAGGTGGAAAGCTCACGGTCGCGGTTGCTCAATAATTTCAGTGCCCTGGCTTCCCAAGAGTTGACCATGACCAAGGGCCCGTCAGGGTTGGGATGGATCGTCGGCCGTGGCGGCCATGGGTTCTTCAACCTTGGGACGTTAAGCAGAAAACACCAAAAAGGAGACCCGGATGAACCAGGATGAAGCTCCCTACTTGGAGATCCTTCAACCCCCAGAACATGCCGAGGTCGGCATTTGGTGCAGGGCTTTCGCTTCTTAGTCTTCCGCTTCCGCTTGGACAGCCACCGAGCCTGCGCTTGGGGGTATACGCGCGGCCGACGCGTGCTTGGACCGCCGGTGCTCGGTATAGCGCGGGGCGGTAAGCGGGGCGAGACGAGACATGGGGCCACCTCGATAAGGAACTGGAGCCATGCGCACAAGAAGATACAAGAAGCAAGTTCCAGCAGTTTACAGGCTGTTGTGTGCGATTAGTCTGTAGTCTATGTATGTCGACATGTCTATGTATGTCGACATGTCCAGTTTGGGGGTGTTACCTGCAAGAGTCGGTAAACAATTCACGATTTTAGAGGAAGGCCTTTACCTATAAGTGGAAAAAATTATCTGTTACAGGGAATGGGATACCCCTAAATATAATTAAATATATAGTTTATACCAGCACCGGGCGTTAATCGCCCCCCCCCTTTCAACACACCCAGTCCAGCCTCGGCGCCCACCCCCGAGGCTGGTGGTACGGAGTGCCCTTGTTGGTGCGTGGACCTTTGCTCTCCTTGCCCATCGTGTTGGCGACCGACTACCCGCCCATGCAGACCATCTTCGTGAATGTCACCTGGTAGAACCTGGTCGCGGAGGTGAACTGCTGGCTCAGTGAAGCCCTCTTTAGAGGATTGTTGGCAAGGCCGTGTCAAGCCTTACTAGGTGATGGTTTCGGATATTTTCAACCCTTACCTGGGGATGATTGGGCCCTCGATCTGACTAATATGTTTCAAGTGGGTTGAAAACACCAACCAGCTTATATTGTTTGATATATGTATGAAACGCATTGAGACACCATTGGAACAGGGAGCCTTGCGCCGGACATACTCCATCTCAGGTCAAGCAAGTACCCCGCCAGTCACTACAAAACGATGGTCTCAAACACTCCATGGGACTGGCATATTAATTGAATATATTTCCAGGGTATATAGTAAGTATATATATATATATATTATACCTTGGGGCATATTTCTTCATTGGCCAACATGATCCAGCATGATCCAGCATCTCATTCCAGCCCTATCCGTGTTGTTTGGGTGTGGAACATGTGGAAACCGACGGTGCGGGACGATGGGAAAACTGGCAGCCGGAGGGGCGATCGATCAAGCAAGCCAGCTGAGCCTTTGAAGCTGGCCACGAACAGCTTCACGGCACACGGGGCCTAAGCGGGAAATTCAGACTTTACTGAGTTTACTTGGTCACTATAGATGATAATAACGTACTGGATTTTGTTAATTCTTAGTTGATTTGGCCCTATCTTTGTCAACCAGCTCTGCAAAGCCTTCCCCGAAAACCAGCTTTCCTGCCACTGAGGTGATCCTGGCCGTTTTCCTCATCATCGAGACCCTGTCCTGGCCCTGGAAGGTGCCACTCTTGCACCTCGTCTTCCACACTCGGGTTCCGCAGAACGCGCGGAAACCGCAGAGCGCGCGGAACTGGTCATGGGGTTGAGGAGGGTGAAGCACACGGTGTGGTTTCAAACCCCCGTCAGGATCGGGCGTAAGTTGTTCATCCGAAAGATGCTCCGGGTGTTTCCGGTGGGACTGGAAGAGCTACATTTACAGACTACCTAAAACATCTAGAAATCCAATTGGCCACTGTTCTGATAGAAATTGACCATATTTTGGATGGTTGGTGGTCCAAAATAGAGGTCATTCAGGTTCTAGGTGCATTACCATCATTTGTGGGTAGACCAGTGACGAGTTGGTAAAAGAGCATCACTATATTCATCACGATTTTTGAGAAAGGCCTGCAATCCATCACCATCCACTGGGCCCTGGTGATTGGACATGCCCGACATTGATCGACAGTTGGGAGTGGTGAGTGGTTTTTGGGTTTGTCCGAAGCGTTTGGGGGAGAGGAAGACGATCAGAAGACAGTGAAGGATCCGGGGCTTGGAAAAAACGCTTTGGAACATGTTGTTCCCACATGAGGGTGACCAATTCCAGTGCAGTTCGTGTGGATGACTTGGCACGTATTTTATCCTAACATACCTTTATTTTCCAACTGTGCAAAATTTACATGTTCATCTAAAAATCTGTCAAAGGGTATAATTTTCGGGTACTTGGAAGATCCAGGTATGCTAACCAATCTGAACGACCCAATTACCATGGCCTCCACCTCTCGATAAACCGTGAGGTTTCGCTCGGCAGGCATTGAAGATCTGCCCGGAACATCACCGGGGTGGGGCCCCGCAGTTCAGCTTTGGAGGGATCAGGTGATGTGCCAATTTTCGGGGTAGCACTGAAGAAGCGCATCCAAGAAGAGGTGTTTTGTTCTTTTTCACCGGGGTTGGGCCGATCGGGTGGTTTTGTGCTCTCCAGATTGCTACACTCTGACTCACTAACATGGAAGTGGAAAACCCGCTGTTGGTAGAGGAAAGTAGTCTTCCAAGTGACCATTGTCCACTTCCATGTTAGTGAGCCAGAGGCTATATATTTTTGAACCCGGTTTTCTGAAGCAATCCATGTTGAAGGTGATCAAGCCAAGATCCGAAGATCCTCGATCCAGCGGGCACCATCCGATCCCAAAAGGAACATGCGGCCATTCTGACAAAATGGGTGTGCTGCTTGGGGGAATCGCGGAAGGCTTCGAGTTCCAGGGTTACAAGGGGAGACTGAGTGTCTCTGAGAATTCTTCTGGGAGCTCTGCCTACCCAAACAGTGGATGACCTGCCCAAAGAACAACTGGAAATTTGGGTTTGGCCCATGGTCCTGTGTGGCCTGTGTGGTATTTCAGTCCTCTCTTCTCGGTTGCTTTGAGCGCTTAAAAACGGGAATCGCCAACCTGCCTCTTTCAGGAACTTGGTGGCCTCTTGGCTGAAAAGAAACGAAAGAAACCCTCTTGGGCTCCAATCCCTAAGAAGGTGGTTAGATCATCTTGGGCTCAGAGGGCTCAGAAGGTGGTTAGATCATGCTAGATCCCCCATGACCCCCCATGGCCAGGCCAGGAGCCCTAAGCCATGATGTGCTGATCCAAGCTCCGCTCCGATCAGTGGCAAACCATACGTGATGACCCCGTCCAAAACGAAATGAAACATGTATCAATCTATAGAGGAAAGTAGCCTTCCGGATGATCATTGCATATCATTTCCGTATATTTCCATGTTTGATCATGTACGTTGGTTTTAGAGAGTGTACTTGTAAGCAACTTCAACAATTACTCGAGCACAAATGCATGTAATGTAGCTTGCAATAGTGTTGCTTTTCGCCAGCTTCGTTCCTTGCAGAACGAGATGGGTGTGCAATCAGAGAACGAGAGATCCTGATAAGTTATCAATCAGATGAATCAGATGCATTTAAAAAAGACGTTGCCGTGATGCACATGGTTCAAACTGATCTCCAGTTCGCGTCCTGGGCACGCCACAGAGTTACAGTTGGTCAAGTTGGTTGCAGAACCGTCCTGGCACCCAAGATGACAAGACCAAATGTTTATTTGAACGTCTTTGTGGATCATTTGCTCATCACTATACGTTCACACAGACAGTAACACCAATTGACGACCAGCCAGGAAAAACAAGAACTTGTTGGTGGTTAGATTCTTTTTGGCATATATGGCATTACATGGCATTACCACTGATATGGGTGTGCCGGTTTAGGGTTTAGGGTTTGGGTCACCGTGTGCCGGTCAGGACATGTGGATGACTCTTTGCTTGATGCTATTGGTCATGGGCTCCGCCTTGTATTTGGAACCCGTGGAGGGTGCCATGAAAGACTTCGCCGCGGGCTTCTCAACGGTGCCTCGGAGGAGAGATCCAAGCATGACCCGTCTGGAAGAACCATGTTGATCTAATCGCCTATCTTACCGGTTTTGCCCTGCGCAGCCTGCGACAGGTCAACCATGGTCAACCACGACCTCCGAAACAAAAGTCACCAAAGGGGTGGTCTCCTTTGGAGGTCGGCCGGGTGATGTAATGGGCCGGGTATTTTACTGGGTCCCTGGGTGACTCATTACCCAGACACTCCATGGGACTGCCATATATGCTTACATTGACCCCCCTGGCACCACCCCAATGTAGGCATATATGGCAGTCCCATGGAGTGTTTGGGTATGGCATGGGAAAGAGATGGGACAAGTTCGGATGTTCTTTCCGGCTCCTGGTCGCCGCAAATCCAAGGATAGGGCTGCGTATGGCTGTGGCATAGGAAGACCCGGACGTCGACATCCATGTGGGTAACACCTGGACCCAAAAGCAGAATGAGTCAATAAAGCTGATGGCAAAACCACAACTTGAATCGAATTGAGCTTCCTTCGCACGGAGATATTCACGGGTTAATCGACCACGAAGGACCTGAAAGAGGAGGCGCTTAGGTCAAGCCAACAAAGGGTCAGTCAGTCGGTGCTGTCGGTGCTTGGCGTGTGTTTAAACATTTACCCAGGGGATCCAGTTACCACGATGTTGCTGGTAACCAGTTCCAAAGACCAAAACCATAGACTTCCAATCCCAGGTTCCTTATATAGTGGTTTGCCTGGGATCCACTGGGTTACTTTCCTCTAGGCCGCGGGGCTGTCGGAGTTCACCTTGTTCTACGTCCCCAAATGCCTACAACACTGACAACGCGTGACATGCTTGGTGGTGGAAAGGCTTGCCTCAAAAACGCCACCGAAAGCAGGGTTCCAAGCAGCATTCAACGGCCGGTGTTCAACGGCCCGGTGTTCAACGGTTCAACGGTCACCGTGACGAAAGGTTTCGCCCCGACTGAGGCAGTGATGGTGTGCATTGGCATGGCCATGTTAATGATGGCCATCGTGGCCACTGCCGCCTTAGTCCACCGCGCTGCCATGGGGGGCGCCCAGGAGCCGCTTGGTTCCCGCCCCAAACAGCTCACTCGCAACAGGAGTGAGCTGGCCATGGGGGAAGGCTGAGCTGTTTGAGTCGGGACTTTTGAGGAAGTTTTGAAAACGACAGCAGGAACCTCAAGAAACATCCTTTGTTGATGCATATATGATCATGATCATAGTTATGATCAGTAGTTATGATCTATTATATGCTCAAACATGTGCAAACCAACATGCCCAGGTCTTCTCCATGTCCTTCTCCACTTGGGGAGATGAGACGGTGCCGAGGTATTCCATCTTCAACATGGGCAAGGTGGCACCTGCCCCTTTGGTCTACCAACGCTTGATCGCCCTCTCCGCCGAGCTCCAGAAACTGGATGAGAGCCGTTTGGATCCGGTTTAACTGGTGTTTGCTTGTTCATGAAAAAATGGGCTTCTGGCCTACCTCCTGAGAAGATGGTTTGGGGGTGGATTTTGATGGATTTTGGGGGTCCAGCCACCTTCTGAATATATGGTTGGTGCTCTAGGGATTCTTGTTGTGCCCGCTCTTTGCTAAGAAGGTCAAGAACTAGCATCCTCCAAAGGGACACCATTGGTTCGACCTATGTTTATATTCGGGCCCAAGAACCCTCAAACGAGGAGACCTGTTGGCGGGTGCTGGTAGTTGGCATTCCTCGCGGTGTGAAAGGGAGGGAAAGCGTGGAACAGCCGAGGTTGGGTGCAGGGAAGGATTGCCAGCATGTCAGCCTTTGACATTAGGCCGGGAGCCGTGTTTCACTTCGTTTGGAGGGCGGTGTTGGGTGGGCATCATCATGTGGGTCAACTCAAGAAGATGAGACTACTCATTTGGGTCCGTGGTTGGGTTCCGTTTTGTAGGCCCTTCGTAGGTCCTGGCAGCTGGATGGTTTTGAGATGCTTTCCAGTGGGCATCCAAAGGGGTGTCAATGTATTATAGGCAAGTATATGAAGGGTTGTCCATTTACCACCCCTTGTCCGCCCTGGTTGAGAGGCATTTTGTTGAATCTTTTGCCAGCCCTATATGCCGTTCTTGGAGCGTGCCTTCCGTTTCTTTGGCCTTTGTTGGTTCCCCAGCCACGGCGCGGGAGGGTGGAATCGATCCAACAGGATCCAACAGGTGTTTACAGTTATCAATTCCTTGCATGGACGCCGTGGCCTTTCACTCCGTGCCCAGTTCGGCCCAATTCGCACTTCTCGGAAGCTGATATGCATGAGCACATCACAGGCTGCACCCCTTCTCCGCTCGAGGCTCATCACTGGCTGCATCACCTTGCTGGCCATTGATTGCGTGCCCCACAAGGCCGATCGCTGGTAAGACTAGATGAAGGAAGGCTGCTGACTGCAGCATCCAACGACCCACCGGGTTCGGGGCAGCTGGCTGCTGCCTAGATCTTTTGGAGACGACTTAATTGAATCCAGGTATATAAATTGTAAGTGCTGAGAGTATCGTTTGTGATACGATCCACTGAGATTCATCCTGTGTTTTGGGTCTGTTGCTTCCGGAGATTGGCCGTTGTTCATGTCGTGGGCGCCGGTGAAGGTTTCAAGTTTCAGAAAAAGAACTACATTTAGCATATATCCCTAGGGATCCAAGTACCTTCTCAGAAGGTACTTGGACCCTCCAAACCTACACAACAGTGCCTCCAATCACCTTCTGAGAAGATACCTGGATCCCTAGGGTATATATATATATATATAGAACGTTTCATCACACCACCTTAGCTTACCAGGACATGACATGAGTTTGATGCGTCGTATGGCGTGTGCTAGTTGGATGGTCTATGAAATTGCGTTTGACACTTGAAGGGCCTAGCCATGGGGTGTTGACGTTTGGACTCCTGGCAAGCATGTATTGTCATTGCCCTCCCAGAATTTCCCAGCGTTGAGCCCTGCAAGACACTACTTCCCCCCACAAAGCCATCCAAACTCAACTCGTGCACCTAAACGACTTCCAGACTTCTAGGATCCCTGTTGCTACCGACAATCTGGGTGTGCTTCAGCACAATGTTGATCAATTTTGTCATTATATGCGACTCATTTAGTATAAGAATAGAAATAAACAACGAAACACATGACTCTTGGATCACTTGAATTGAGTCTACCAGGTGAAATGTATCCACACTCACTGTATATTCTTGGCTGTTCGTGCATGTTCGTGCTAACCTCTGCAGAGCAAAACCCTTACTTTTTTTGTTTAACTTCATAACTCGTTGTTTTAGACTTAATGACTTGAAACACAATATGTGGCCTATTGCAACCCATTGTTGTATATTCACAATTTTTGACTAACATGAGCATGCTTGACCTCTCTTCTCGGTAGGAACGGGATTTTCGAAGAGAGGTTGAGAGACCTGAACTAGGATAGTTTTTGGTTGTACATACGGGATGGGCCCAAAAGGGGCTGTGATAAAAACCTCTCTACCAGGAACCCTCATAACCATGAAAAATAAAGGTGTTCACATACAACAACAACCATGTTTTCTTGCTATATGGAAAACCAGGTGTTTGATGGTTTGTGGGGCCCCTTCTCCCAAGAGTTTTGGACTTCGTTCTGAAGCCAGCCGCTCTAATGCTTCAGGCGGATGAGCTGAAGTTCAACTTCGCACGGGTGTCCGCGCAATCCTTTGCCGTGCGGGGTAAGACACAGAAGAACATCTATAAGGAGCCCGTGTCACCCGTCGCCCGGCGCGACGTGTGGCGCACCATGCCTTCCGACAGAGGTTAAGTGAACTGAACTAGGACCCTACAGGAGTACCTATAGGATAGTCTATAGGGTTCTTCAACCTTTGCTGGTTGTTTGGTTCCGAAAGCTCCAGGAGCCCCGAGATCTCGTCGCCTCGCTCCTAGTAGTAAGGCCAGGAGCCCGACTTTCGTAGCGTTCTTGCTCCGTTCGTAGCGATGCCAGGAGCCCCGATCGTAGCCTCTTGCTCATTGTGTAGAAATTTTTGAAAATGTGTGCCCAGGGGCTCCAGTTGTACCTGCTCAGAAGGTATTTGGACGCTCTAAATCCCACCCCAAACACCTTCATGTACTTGGAGCCCTAAGGTGTAACATATCCCAGTCCGAGTGTTGGGGTGTGGACTGCGAGAAAGAACATTGGCGTTGGCTCTCATTTGCTCGGCATGGCTCTATGTGGTGCTGAAAACTGTATCTTGACTATCCCTAGTTTTTCCCTATGGATCCACACACCCTTTGAGAAGGTGATGTGTTCGACTCTGTTCTCTACAGTGGTTTCAGAGTAGATTGCACAATCCCCCACAAGGTGGTTCATATGGACCACCATATCCAAGACATCTTTGGGTGCGCCATTTCTCACCTCTGAAACGTACGTTCCGTCGGGTGGTGCCCGGGCAACCGTCGGAGCCCAGCCGTACTGAAACCATCGGCCACATCTCCCGGAGATCCCACCGACCGGCGCAGCCTCCATCGTCTGGGACCCCCTGCGCACCGCGGTGGGTCGGCCCCACCGGTTGCGCCATCCAGGAGAATGTGCACCAGGTGCCAAGCGAGGAGACCACCGCGCTCGCGAGGGTTTCAGGGGTCGGCGTCGGAGGGTGTGAAGCTCCGGCTGCTGCCGGGAAGCGAGGCCAAGAGAGGTTGAAGAACCCGAAGGTTCGACTACTGTATCCCAGAGGTGCCTCAAGTTACGGGTCCTGGAGAGAGAGAGAGAGAGAGAGAGAACCACGGCCATTCCTGTTGCTTTGATAGTTCATGATAGTTCCTATAACGCAGCAACCATGCAACCAAGTTGAAGAATCTCGAAAAGCTATTGGTACGAGCATCTACTCGTATGTCCAAAAACAGGCAAGCATGAGCCGGTCCTAGCCGGTCACTCAGTGAAGTTCGGAACTGTAGAGGCATGCTTTGGAGGGCAAACAAACAGGTTCAGAGGATGTGCTTTTTGTCGAAACTGTTTTGGGCAACTGGAAGAAGGTTTTGGGCAACTTGAATTTCAAGGTGGGGAGCCTTTAGCCATGAAAAAGCCACCAAAGGTTGGCTTCCCCCCCAGAAAGCACCGCCAGTGAGATGGGCCTTCGCGGCCTTCGTGTGAGATGGCCCCTGCCAGACGGAATCTGCCGAAAGCTTGCAGTTTCTGGTTGATTGCATGTGAATCTCTTTGAGTGAAGGGTTTTCGGTTTTCTGGGTTTGAAGGAAGCTGAATAGGTTTCTGGATTGATAGATCCTTTCCCTGGCCCAGATGCCACAGCCCTTCTTTCGTGTGGCAGTAGCCTCCGAAGTCGAAGGATGCAGCGTATGTTTGCCGTGTGTATTTGATGTCCAACTCCATGTGCCCTACTGTGGATCCAGTTTCCGGTCTTGCATCTGGCTGCCAGGTCACAAATTCTCCAAACCGGCCCCGGGGTTTGTACTAGAATAGCCAAGACTATAGCCTCCCAACCACGGCGGTTTGTTGGCACATTGGCATGTTTTCCTGGCACATTGGCATGTTTTCCTGGAAGGAACCACGAGCTCGGGTCGTTGCGGGCTGTCCATATTCACCGGGGCGGCCGGAACTCGGGGGGGCGGCCAGAACTCGGGTCCTGTCGGCCAGCGACAACTGCTGGGTCGCCGGTTTCGTCGCCCCTGCGTTTGCCCGGGGGCTTCTGCCCTGCCAGGAACATCACCTTTAAGATCCTCTAACCTTTGTTGGGGTTTGGTTTCTCCACTCCACACTTTCTCAGGTGAAAAGAACATGTATTTCGAAAGGATCATCTCATTTCAGGACCCACCAGGGCTGGTTAATGGACCCCTTAACCTCTAAGGAGCTATTATTATTGGCCCTGGTTTATGTGTTCATTTATTTATGCAGCTCTTTTTTTTCAGAGACACTTGACGCTCATCCTCTTCGTCCACCACTGCGTTCGCCGCTCGTGGAGGAGAACGCCCTCAGCTCGGCGGCGGAGTTGGCCGCCGAGCTGGCCTTGGATGCACCTGAGCTGGCGCCAGCGCCAGGAGCAGAACTTCTGAAGTTTGGGTCAAACTTGGACTCTCAGGGGAGTAACGTGAAACGGTCTCCGTTTGCGAGCCTCGGTGCTGGTTCCTCCCAACTTGGGGGCCCAAAAAACTGCAGGTGGTCCCTCTGAATTTTCTCCAGAAGTTCCTCTCAGTTGCTACCAGGGGCCCACAAACCATCAAAAACCATCAAAACTATGGTTTTCCCTAGCAAAAAGACATGGTTTTCGATGGTTTTTGTATTGTGAAACCTGTATTGTTCATGGATATGAGGGCCTCTGGTAATGTTGAACGGAAGCCGAGGACCCATGTTTTTGAGACAGACGTGCCTGTTGGGAAGTTGTGGGGGGCTTTCAGAATAAGGACCCTCAAATGACCACGCATATACCGTCCATCTCTTAACAGCACTAAAGCCTATCCGATTTTATGCACCAAAAGGATCCAAGAAGGGTCCTAGTTCAGGTCTCTCAACCCCTCTTGAAAACCCGTTGGGTTTGCTTTGTTATCTTTGTTGCTTCCCGTCGGGACGTTGCTTCCGCGACTCGTTGCCTTTTCCTCGGCGGCGGCTTCCCGGAGTCGCGACTCGTCCAGGAGTGGCTGAAGCTGCAATCGTCGAAACGACCGAAGACAATCGTCAAGCCGGGCCCTTCAAAAGCGGTTGGGTTTAGACGCTGCAAGTGATGCCGCGCGGCCTATTCTCTACGGGCAAGGGCCTGTAGCTGCGAGGCTGAGAGGGGGTCGAAGCTTAGGAAAAGGTCAAATGATGGACGGGGAGCACGGCCAACGAGCGAGTCAGAAAGAATGTCCACGCAAAAGTTTGAACTGATCGTTTGTTTTGTTTTGTTCATCATCCCTCTAGTGTTGGGGCTGATGATTTGGCCTCTCTCATATCTCCGAATAATGTAATTAAGCTGAATTGGCTTGATGTTGGGCACGTCCTGGGATTGCGTTTTCCACTTGAATGGCCTCCATGGTTTCCACACTTGGGAGGAGTCTAAGCATGTGATCTGGTCGACCACTATGAGGACCATGAGACTCCTATAATCTCAATTAGCAGGATTCAATCTGGGGGCTTCTGGTTTCCTTCCATGTTGCGGGGTTTGTCAGGAGAACCCTCAAAAAAGTTCGTGCTTCGAGGCTGCAGGGAAATTCGCAAGTCCAGGACGATTCCTCGCCCCAATCTGTTAACTAAGGCCGGTTCCCCCAAATGGTGGGACCGGCCGCCAGCCGGCACCATGTGCCCACCGCACTGACCAGACCAGACTTGAGGAATCGAATCGATCATTCTCTGCGGAGACGGCAGCCGCGGCGGTGCAATGGTGGGAGACGAAGACTTCTTAAGAAGAATGATCTACCATGGCAAAACCGCTGGGAACTGTACTGGATCTGCCAGCACATAGCCCTTAGCCTCCAGGGTATCGTGACAACTTGAGGCACCAGTAGGATCCTGCTAAGGTTGCGTGGCAGCCAGGTCTATGTTCGTATGTATTAGTAAACGATGTAAACGTGTAGACCAACCATGATAATCAACAGATATCAATCCCAGACACTCCATGTATGCCATATATGCCTACATTGACCCCCAAAACCACCCCAATGTAGGCATATATGGCAGTCCCATGGAGTGTATGGGAATAGCTTACATGTTGCCATTTTGATACCTTGAAGCCCTTGGACCACCGTTTGGATCGGGTTTCTTCACCTTGAACCCCTTGGACCACCGAATGTTCTCGGAACTCGGAGGGAGGATGACGAACCTTTTGTCACCCACAAACTCTCGCATGGTTCCACCAACAGAGGTGGGTCAGAACCCTAGTTGGACTATCCCCAAAACAGTCCCTAGGGATCCGAGTACCTTCTCAGAAGGTGATTGGAGGCACTGTTATGTAGGTTTGGAGGCTCCAAGTACCTTCTGAGAAGGTACTTGGATCCCCAGGGAGTGCTTGGTTTCCCCCCCGTTCGTTTCAGGAAGAACACGTCAACCCGTTCGTTCGTTGCAGGTTGCAGGTTAGTCTCACAGCTCCGGTTTCACTCCGCAGGTGGCTGCTCGTTTTGGGATCAAGGCTTTGACACGGATCGTTGTTTTCAAGGCTTGCATGTCTTATGGATCCAAGGATTCTGGAAGTATTCCAGGCAGAATGGCCACTTGTTTTCGTCACCGAGCGGGTTCAGCGATGTTTGGAATCGCTGTTTTCATGTACTAGGCCCACAGATTCCTTTACCTCAAGGAATGATAGAAAACACACACACACATGCACACACACCAAAAAAAAAGGGTCCCTGAGTTCAACCACACAGAATGCCAAGCCGACTCCATCAAGGTTAAACCACCCATGCCAGGAAGAGTGGATGACCTGCATGCCAACCCTTTTTTAGGGATTGGTTTCCCCACCAACCGTCCAGAGGTGGAAACGGGCTACAGACGACCTAAGAATCCTTGGGCTCTCCATGGCAGGGGTCCGGACCCGAACCAGACCCTATGTGTTGCTTCGGGCCCAGATTCTTAGGGTGTAGCCGCTGTAGCCTTTGTTTCAGGGAAACTAAGGGAGTCAGACGACCAAGGTGTGTGGTGCTTGGTTCGTTGTGGTCGGAACCCCCCATCCAAAACTCATGGCGATGCATTGACACGTTGCGCTCGCCTGACGCGCTCGCCTGACGCGCCTGTACAGGCCGGGCACCTGACAGAGCCTCCGAGGGCTGGACCCTAAAGAGAAACATATCATATTGGCTAATGCTTTTTGGGCTCCAAGTAATAAGATGATGTAACAAGTACCTCCTCCGAAGGGTCTTTGGACCCTGGGCACCCTCTCACCCTGCTGCCACGTGTCCAACACCTTCGTGGAAACGAAGGTCCATCTGCAGCCCAAAGGGGGGCAGCGAACCAAGTACCATCCTTGGACACACCTTTGCAGGGGTTCGGACCCGAATACCACCAAACCCTCGCCATTGCTTCGGGCCCGAATTCTTAGGGTAGGAAATAAGGTCATTGTCTCAGCAGGCTTGCCAGCAGTCTCCAACCAATCACCCGGAGCGACCAGTCCACAACTTCTTCCTCTGGGAGAGAGGATCGTTTTCGCCGGGAGAGACGACGACAGGGACTCGGGGCCTCCAGCTGGTTGAACAATGTATAGAACAACTCATACCTAGCGCTTCCTGTCTGGGTGTCCAATGGTGACCTATAAGCAGCGTAGGCTTGTCCAGGTCACCCTTTGGAAACCTGGTATAACCTGATGATTTCAGACTAAATCCCAGACACGATTCATGGGACGGCCATGTCGGACTGCCGAGAAACGGCCAGGGGTGGTTTTAGGGGTCAATTGATCGGCATACATGGCAGGGATATGCAAAAACTATAGGAGGATCTATTATACGATGAAGTACCACCCTGTTTGGGGTTACGTTTCTATTGATAGCTCCTTACAGGTTAAGGGGTGTCGATTAACCACCCCTTGTGGGTCCTGGTAGGTGGTGTGTTTTTGGTAGGTCCGGTTTACCCGGACCTCCCCGGGAGGTCACCACACTGACAGTAGAGCAGACAAAGACACTGACGGGGGACAGAAAACGACCACCGATGGGGGACAGTCATGGACAGAAGACCTCCTTTGTTCACATGGAGAAACCCATATCACAGACATTTCTAGAGCTCCGCCTCCATGGTGCTGACGATGTGTTCGAACGGTCTCCCACCATGCTCAGAGACCGTGTGACGCCTTCGGCGTGCAGGGGCGACCCATATCGTCGATGTGTGAGGCGGCGAGGGGGGTGGAGGACGAAGGTGACTTAAGAAGGGACCTGTATACCAAGAATGCAGGGGCCGAGCTCGGTCCGGGCGGCAGTCCTGTACTTGGGCGCCAAGTACAGGGCGACCCAATGGTTGGTCCCAAGTCCATGCACATACTGAACCATGTTGTTACAGTAAGTCTTCATATTTGGAAATGACCTCCCACATCCTCCCACATATTCCCACTGCAATTGATTAAGGAGCCTGGCTAAATAGAATACAACTCCAGGCGGTCAGGCCGCCAGGCCTAGTATTAGTACTGGAAGTGTTGGCAGTCGTCGTCTTCGTCGTGGTGGTGATGGTCGTCAAAGCGTAATCGTGGTCGTGGTCGTAGTAGTAGTGTTCAGCAGCAGCAGCAGCAGCAGGAGTATGAGGCAAGAGAAAAAGCCCCCAGCAGATTCAGGGGTTGGCAAACATTTCATGAACACTATGTTGATCTATTTTGTAAGTCCGCCCTATTATATTTATCAAATCAGGATTGGTCATTACATGTTAAGCTTATTTGCTCACCCCTCGAAGGACTGTTCTGCTTCTTCACGCATTGGTTCATTCATGTTCATTGGGCCATGGGCCCTTCCCTCTAACGATCTGGTCGTTGTCGGGTGGTAGAAGACGGTCTCAGCTTCAGACGGGTCTCACCGTTGAACACCTAGCCTTCCCTCACAAGAACCGGAACGCCTTCCAAGACAGGTTCACCATGGATTTCATGGAATGGTGAACCCCATGGTGAAATGTAGTCTCAAATCCGGTAAAACGATGCTTCGTCCAAGCAATGGGTAAAAAAAACCGTCCAAGCAATGGCTGTTGGACTTCCGAATCCCATGGAAGTGGGAAGGTGATCTTTTGGGGCCTAAACACTATGGAGGGGCCGCCTAAGGCGAACCGCACCAGTGTCTCGAAGACTAAAAGTGTCTTCTCATGTCACTCACGTCAGTCTCTCGTCGAGTTCGACTATTCTTACAGTGAAGTAAAGGAAGTTCCTTGAAACCATGCAAGTAGATTCCCTCCCAAATACCTATAAAACCGGACTTTCATTAAGGTTAAATTAAGGCCCGGTGTTGACAGTGGACTCTCCGGAGAAACCGCTTCCAGATCACCTCACCGGGGCCAGATCGGTCCACCGAGGCGCTGTGGAGCTTGCTCCAGCGCTGTGCCGAGTTGCACGGCAACCCGTCCGCCGCCGAGGCGGGCTGGGAACGAGCGGGTCGGGGGAGTCATGGTCCAACACCATGGGAGGTGGATATCCCTTATACCCTATAGGGATCCAGTCGTACCTGCGAAGGTACGACTGGACCCTCCAAACCAACCCCAAACACCTCCTTGGAGGCCTAGGGTTATAGAGGAATCTGCTCATTTTCAGACAACATCATCAACCAGCGTCCACCGGTTTTGACCCACTGCCGCATCCTAACGCCATGTTCTCTTGGCAGCAAAGCACATGCTTTTTACGCAGGTCTAGGTCTGAGTCTACGTCTCTTTTTTCAGGGGTTAGCTGGGTAGAGGATTTGGACCAGGAAGTCGCGAGGCCGAGTTCATATGAACGAGCAAGCTGTGGCAGGCCCCGCACCATGCGGCATGTGTGGACTTGCTCGTCCAGACCCTTCATGTTTGCACATGTCAATTGACATCAACGGATGGGCGATCGTGTGGGTGAAGCTGAGCCATGGGAACACCCTAACGATCTCAGACCACGACAGGTGCTGCACGTCTGGCACGACGACCGCGTCACGGCCGGAAGCAACGTGCCTTGGTCGGCCTCGATGGCTCCACGCTGTGAGGGCCACGGGTTTTGAAGAACAGCCCTGAGATAGAACTGGGATTCCAACAACTGTTGTTTCAATGGCCTTTGCTGAACAACCACTTTGATCCATTTTGTTTTACTCTGGATTTTTAAGAATATGTGATATCGCTGGATTTTCAGTCACAACAAGGCCCGGTAAAGGCAACTGTATATTATATGACATGCTGTG